TTCTTGCCACAGCAGAGGCTGGCGCATGCTGTGTCAAGCACCCGCATTGGTGGTAAGACGGAACTGAAGCGGGAGCAGGGGGCACCCTATATAGTGGTGTGTAGATGGCCCACTGCAGGGGGGCACTGGGGACCCCAGCGCTTATGGGTACTGCTTAGGGAAAAACGTCTGGCACTGATGTATTTGGCAGGTGCACTCACCTAATGGTGAATGGATAGCAGCAATAATTAAAAGACGATATTTCTGGCGCCTCAAGTAAGCTGCTACCGCTGACATACACTTTTGTGAAGATTCTTGGGGGTTGTAGCCAGCCCAAAGGGGAGGACCATAAACTGATGATAGTTCACACCTACCATTAATGTGAAAGTATGCATTCTTGAGGCTGGATCCGGGTCAAAGATAATGGAAACCAGGGCTACTATGCAGCACTTGAGCCTCACTAGGTAGCAGTTGAGTTCTCACAAATCTAGAAGAGGACCCAGCCCACCTCTCCTCTGGTTTTTGAGGTTGAAAAATAACGTGATTAAATGCCCCAATTTCTTTACTGGGGGTGGCACCGCCACTGCTCCCACCTGAAACAACTCCCCTGCCTCACTGGGGAGGGGGTGATCTTTGAAGAGGGATGGGAACGTAGAATAGGAAGAGAACTGGAGGATATAGCTGTACCGTACCCTGAAGGACCCGGCTAGCCACAGAGCTGGTTCTCCAGGCTGGGAGGAAGAGTGAAGTTGGGGCAAAGTAAATCATGAAAGCAACCCCAGGCACGCCTTCAGAAGGGGTGTTTGTCAGTGGGCTTAGCTGGGCTGGAGGAGGGCTGAGAGTGAGATTGAGACTAATGGCTCAGTTTCCTGAAGAAGGCCTGAGGTTTCCCTGGAGTTGAGTCCTTCCAGCCTGGGCTGACCTCTTCAACTGGAACAGGAGGTGCTTGAATTTCTTCCTTTTTGGCCCCAGCACATACAATCCCAAGGGATTCAGGATGGTTTGTGATCTTTAAACGTGTGCAATTTTGTGTCCGTTTGTCCGACAAATCGGATGGCTCCATTGAATGGCAAATCCTGGGTGGAATGGCTTCTAGAGGAAGCCACAAAAGGATCAGTGCCACCCTTCTCATGGAAACTGAGGCTGTCATGGATCATGCTGTGACATCTGTTACATCAGCAGTCACCTGTAGCCCTGATGGTCGAGGCTACCTAATCAGCAAGCACCTTGAACTCGTCATTCTTAGGGGCTTCTGCCAGTGCAGACTCAAATTTGAACACTGCCTGCCTCATATTTAAGTTGTACAAGGGCCTGGTGGGTTTTTCCCACCCAGGGTTGAAAGCTCACTGAGGAATAAAACTTAAAGATTCAAAATAATTGGATCTTATTTGTATTATTTTTCGGGGGGAGGGGGGGAACAGAATAAATCCTGTCCCCACCAGTGGTATATTGCTTCTACCACCAAGGAGTTGTTGGGCACAGGGTGAGTTTACAGATGCTCATGCTATGTTGCAGGGACAAAATATTTCCAAGCTGCTCTTTTTGCAAAGGGTTGGGGTGGGGGAAGTTTACCACAGAACCTTGGCAATGCTGGCATGCATTGGGTCTGCTCGCGGGCCCTGAACAAGGAATCTGAGGCTTCCTCCATTTCTCAGACTGTTGGTCCAGGCTATCAGCCACCTGTGTCACAAAGTTCTGGGCTGCGTCTAGCCTGGCATGATTTTACGGAAATACTTTTAACGGAAAAGTTTTCTGTTGAAAGTATTTGCGCAAGAGAGCGTCTATACTGCGCAAAAGCATCCGTGCCAGTGTAGACGCTCTCTTGTGCAAGAAAGCGCCGAAGGCCATTTTAACCATCGGGCTGGCACAAGAAATTAACTTGGCTGTCTACACTGGCCCTCTTGTGCAAGAATACAAGCAGCACTGATTTTGTACAGTACAAACTCAGTGTTCTTGTGCAAATACCCACGGCGAGTGTAGACAGGCAGCAAGATTTTTGCACAAAAGCTTGCCAGTCTAGATGCAGCCCCGGTGTGCTCTATCATCATTCCAAGGGAACCACTGAAGGGGGGGGAGGGTGCCACACTGGCCTCATCCAGAGTCAAGGCTTTAGCTGAGTGCTCATCCTCCATTGCCCGGGCTGGTCACTCAACTCCTCCACCTGAGGGGATAGCTGGCCTGATGGCCTCTGGTGCCTGTGGCTGGGGGCACAGTTGGCCACTGAGCATAGTTTCTGGGGCTGTACCAGGAAGCCTCAGCAAGTCCATTGGGCACCACTGAGCAGGCCAGGATGCCTGGGGCAGGCTGTAAAGCTGCCTGAAGTACTCACTGGGGCAACATGGGATATGGTGCTGACAATTGTGCTGGGGGAAGCAAGAAGAATTCCAATGCAGCATGGATGGCGTGGACATAGGCCGGATGCTTATGATGGGAGGGAAAGCTTCAATAGCTCTGGTATCAGGAGCCACCTGACAATACCCATGACCATGGAGAACACCCAGACTGGCTGTCAGTAGACCACAGGTGATCTTGAGACCTGCTCTGGTGTGAATGATTGGTGCTGAGAAATTAGCAAGACCTGTAGATCCCCATTGCGAGAAACTCAGTGCCAGTGAGTAATGGTGGAATGGAGAGCAGTGCTGAGTGTGTATCTCAAACAATGACCCACACTCACAGCACAACCCAGCTCTAGTATACCTGGCTGCCAGAAGGTTCGTGCATCTAGAGGGCTGGTGACACTTAAGACAAAGTGTCTGACTCCAGTCTCTCTCACTGACTGTGCAGGGCTACGTGAGGCTTTCCTGTCCAGCTGAGTGGGTGATAGTGGTTTCCCTCTTTGCCAAGGTCTGGGCGGTGCCGGAGTTGGTGGCACTTGTAGATACATCTCGTTAATCTCTGTATTACTCATTTTCTCATTAAAATTTTTATTTTAACTTTGTATCAAGTCCTTTAAGCATTGTAGTAAGGCTTTAGTTTTGTTGTATTAAGTCCTTTTATATAGAATGTTTGTATACTTTATCTTGCAGACTTTGTACCCCCCTTTTGCTTAATTGATTGCCCTGTTGAGTGAATGGATAAGGCAAGGGTGTCCTACCTGTGGCTCCAGAGCCACATGTGGCTCTTCAGAAGTTAATATGCGGCTCCTTACATAGGTACAAAATCCAGGGCTGGAACTACAGGTGCCAACTTGGCTGGAGGGTGCTCACTGTTCAACCCCCCAGCTCTGCCCTAGGTGATGTCCCCATTCACCCTTCCCCCTAGGATTCTACCACTTCCTACACTCTCCACTGTGTTTGTCACACCCATTCTTAGTGTCCCACTAAGAACGAGCTGACCACAGTGGGCAGGAGGAAAAAGAAAAGGCGGCACTGACCGGTGGGGCTGCCAGTGGGCGGGATGTGCTGAGAGTGGTGGTGGGGAGATGGACCAGGGTTGGTGATATCGAGCTGTTGCTCTTTTGGCAATTCTGCATTGGTCAATTCTCTGGTTTAGGTGACAACCTCTGGGATAAAGCATGGAAAGATAAGCATCTCTGGGCACTTGCAAAGGTTGGAGAGGGGATGGAAGCTAGATCCAAGAACAACGGGACCTGTGAAGGAAGAAGACTGGACATATGGAAACCTTGGGGGTCAGCAGCAAGTGCCTGCTTTTGGAAGCACCCTCTTTGAAGGAGAATGTGGCAGCATTGAGACACCACTCAAAAGAAGGTGCCACTGTATGTGCATACGATGACTCTCACAGATGATGCCTATGTAGGTGATGACTAACTGGTAGAGATCTGCAGGAAAGGGAAGACACTATAAATCGAAAACATCTTGCAGAGTACCCTGGGTTTTTGTCCTGTCAACATGGGAGCAAGCACTGATGTCCTGCACCACCTGTAACCCCTTATAAGCTTACAAGCTTGCCATCTTAGAAATAGTTTGATTATGACATATCATGACTATGTAGCAAATCTAAACACTGACAAGAACCAGACATGTACCATTAATTTACCTTCCCTGCCAAAAAAAAATGTAGACATTTTGTGGGTTTCATTTTTGTTTTTGCTTGTTTAACAAGGTCAGACAACATTGCTGCATTGTTACTAAACGGGAGAAGGAAAAAAATCTGGTACCTTTACAAGACAGATCCATACAAAAACTAATTGCAATGTGATACAATCAGTATTCACATAGTTCATAGCATCTGGAAAGCCAATAATACATGGAAGCTTTTTCAGAAATTCTGTTGCTGGCCCAAGTATACTATTGATTTGTGTCAGTGATGATTATTAAAAGTGTAATGGATATGAAGTAAAGGTTGCCAATAAGATATTGTAGTGTTTGGAAAAAGGGATGGGACTAAGCGATAATATTCACAGCCATACACACACACACACAAAAAAATTGTTCTCCAAAAGAGAATGGGAGAACAGAAAGAAATACAGCCTTATCTATAAGATGAAGCAAACTAAAAAAATATTGAAGAACATCAAACAGCAACTTCACGTACAGCACGTAATACTAAAAAATAATTTAGAAACAACACTGCCATGCTGAGAACTTGAGACTTCCACAGAAACTCAATGAACAGGTTACTTTGTTTATTTTGTTTCTCTACGTGAACAAATCAATCAGTTTAGAAATTCCATCACACACAAGGCAGAAAAGATTATTTACAGGAGACAAACCCCAAAATAAATTTAAATGCATAGATTTATATCTGGAACCAAGGGTGGGAGAAGGGGATGGGACAAGAATAGAACAAACAAAATCAAAAAAGATATTTATCTTTTTAAACAATATTGCAGTCTAACTCTGACTTTGTTACAGATGAGCTGCATGCCTCCAGTGTGAATGGGGCTTTCAAACTTTAAATATTGGCATCTTAGATATAGAATATTTGATAATTTACATTCATTAATTACTTCTAAATAAATATTGCATGGGAAAGCTGCTACTTTATGATTGCAGACCCCTTCGTTCTTCCCAAGACTAAATATTATTACCACCTTTTTTGCAATGGTAAATACTATTTCATTTTTTTTTCTTGTTCCTGCCAAAGGCCCAGGCCCAACTGAAATCAATGGCCCACTTTCCCTTTGGCTCTAGGCTAAAGATGGGCAGCATTTATTCCTAATTAATAATGTTTATAAAGTTCCCTCAAAGGGAAAAAAATAGAACATAGGTTTGTGATTTGTAGTTTGCTGTAGCTGCTATTCACTGACTACTTTCCACTCATGTGGAAAGCTCACTATATGTGGCTGTATGGGCCTGATCTTGCGCCTGCTGAAATAAACGAGAAGTTTGCTGCCAGTTTCACTGGGAGCAGGACTGAACCTTACATATCAAATTTTACAAGAGGGTTGGATTTTGCATTATTTTTGAATTGTTCATAAATAATCCTGTAAGGCAGCAACTGTCAGCGGTTCCTCTGGATTAAGTAGACAAAGCCTTTGTCCTCCCATTCCCTTTAGCTAGCTTTGTTGACGGAATAGCACTATCCAGCTAATAAATTGTTCACAGGTGGCCGTAGGCAAGTCCCTTGGAATCTGGGGTCCATGATCAAAGGTAGAGCAGTAAGTCAGAAACAAAATAGCATGCCTCAGCACAAAATACACAATGAAAGTCCTGGTTCCTATTGGTCTGGTCCATCTTGTTTAGGAGGAAGAATGTCTGTGATGCAATGGAAGTGGTTGGATGGAAGGAAAAGGCCGTCTGAAGGGTTGAGCAAAATATGTACTTGTTTATCCCTAAGCGTCTCTAAGTTCCTACAGAGTCCAATACTGATTTTTTAAGTCAGGTGGTAGCAATAACCCTCCTTACTGTGACAAATAATAAGGCAAAAATAAGAAGAGGATTTCAATCAATCAGTCTGGAACTCCAGCTTGTTAGTCAATCAGGAAACAGACTTCAAAGTGTACAGAAAGGTCTTACTTTTCTGGGCCCTTCCCATGCTTCTTGAGAACAAAATTAATGTTAACAAACACCTTATATCAATCAGCTGAATCAGTTATATGTGAACTACACCTTAAATAAATTGGTAAGACATGAATAGGTTTCCCATGCAGAGGGGAACAGAGAATGGAATGTTCTTTTGCTTATTTCTCGATTAATGTAGGAACATTTTTTTCTCAACAGTCTTCAAAGAGGCATGCTTTCCTTCCCCTATCTATATAGGAGCTTTCTTTGGTCTCCCTTTACAAGGGACTGTCCCAGACTTACATGGGTCAATGACACTGCTTTAAAAAGAAACAGTTTTGGAAATTTATTGAACACATAAATCCTTAATAGGCACCTTGGAAAAGGAGTATTGCTTCATTGCAGCACATGTATAGATCTGTTTCTATATGAACACAAAGTATGTGCAAAAGCTTTCTTTTACAAAGGGGAAAAGGGGCTAATTCACTGTAAACTTTTCCTTACTGTAAAATTGATATGTATAATTCATTTGGGACAATGTCCTATTCATCAGTCTTCCCAGCAATCTATCACATATAAATCAAGCGCTGGTGGAGAGGACTTGAGAGCTAAGGCACACCATTAGATATGAAGAGAGCAGAAAGCTTTCATTACAGAAAAGGCACTCTGCCGTCTATTGTGATATAAAAATATTGTGGCTGTATTCTTCAGTGTTACTGTCATCTATATGATTGTAATTAAAAAAAAAACTTATGGCAAATAAGAGCTGCTTGTAAATCTTGCAAGAATAGATGAATATTCTAGTTTCTGTTCCTCTGAAGATAGATTTTGAATTTCTGGACAAAACCTATAGCTTTGCCATGAAATGGGAATATCTCCCTTATGAGGGTTACAACACTTTATTGCCAAGCCTGCTCTCAAATACGACATACAAAAAAATCAACTGGCCTGTGTGAGAATATTCAAGGACAAAATCTGACCCTTCATTTCCAGGTAGAGTGAAAGCCTTATGCAGAAGCAACTCCTCTTGATTTAAAGATCTGCAATTCAGCGTAATCTTCACACAATCACAATGAATCATTCCTGACTGTCCCTTACCTTCCCTCCTCTTCATACCCAGCCAGCAACAATCTGAAAGGATGTGCAGTGACAACTCCTTTCTTCCCTTTCAAAGAAACATAGCACTGGCCTTACATGCTCCTTACCTTTTCCACCCCAACTGCGTTAGACTTACGAGGTCCAAAATAAGCAATTGCCTCAGCTGACACTGTTTGAGAGGTAATGGCTTGAATTGTGTGTATGAGAATAAAGGAGGGAAAAAAAAACCCAAAACAATGATGATCTACTAAATGACCTTGCAGTGCACAAGGCAGTGGTTGCAATCAATTCTAAGAGTAGCAGTACAACGGTTAATGTATCAATGCAGTAGGGTATGGTTAGGAAGTGAGTGAGGGAGATTGCTTTGCTGTCTCTTGTTTAACATAATGCTGTTTGGTTCTGTTCAGGTCTTGTCTGACCTCCCAACTCTGAGGAAGAGCAACATACATCATGGACTGCAGCTGAGGCTTGCAAAAACACTTCTCTGAACTTTCTGATATATATGTGATTGCTGTGGCTTTTCAGATGCTACATAACTTTTGGAGGTGGATTTTCTTCCTGACAGCACTGGTTCACATGTGATTTTTGTCTTACTGGTTATTCATTACAGAAATGTTAATAGACCAACAACACACCAAACCTTTCAGACAGTACATTGCACTTTGTCCTTTTAAAGAGAGGCACCATCAAGTCTTAGGTCTCCCTTCCTCTCCAAGGTGTCCAAGGGCCACCCTAGAAACACAGTTCAAAAGTTCTCCAGTGTAGTCAGATCCTTTCCATCTTGTATTTTCCCTTCCAGGTGCTTTGTATCCAATGATTCAGATTGTTTCTCAGTCTTCAAAAGTGCAAAAGAGTTCAAGGAATTAACCACCTTGAGCACCAGTTAAGGCATTTTTGTTTCCAGTTTCAGCCACTGTAATCCCTGCCTGGTATAGTGCACCAGATCAATCAAACCACTATTCAGTGCCAGAGTACACACTGCTGTACTGAGTTCGGCAAAGAATTCTAGAAAGAGAGTAGAGAGAAAGAAAAACGGTTAGTCAGATTTACGCAGAACCCCAGATTTACCAAGAAACATATCTGAAGGGAAGAGATGCTATGAGAAATAAAAAATATGTTGTAATAAGAGCATAAAATATTTATCATGCCATTAGAACGAGAAGCTTCATTACTGAACTGGTGTGTTAAGACAGGCATACAACACAACCAATTGTGTAAGAGCGGGCGCAGGATGCTGATGGGGTGTGGATCAGATAGAGGGTGCAGGAGCAGGTTCTGGGTGGGAGGGAAGGTGCAGGAGCAGGTTCTAAGGGCATTATCATGGTAAGTGTTAGCATTGCCACTGCTGAAGATTGCCGATTGCCTATCAGCCTATAGGCAACTTTAAACCCCAATAAACTAATCAAGCCTCTCCTCCTACACACATGGAAGAAAGAAAAAAAGATTGTAATGTTTATATTTAAATTCTTGAGTGGTGCTTAAATAAGATGGTGATATACTTATGTACAGTGAAACCTTTGTTATCTGTCACTCTGTTAACCAGAAAACTTTGTTAACCAGCATTGCCCCCAGCCACAATACTGTCACATCATCAGGCGCACAGGCCTGGCTTGGTTTACCATGATTGGCTTAATTTTTTATTTAAGAAGTACTAATCATCTTTAACACAAAATAGAAATGTGAGACCAACAGCCTCAAACTACAACAGCACGGCTGGTGAGCCCTGATGATTAGCTTAATATTTTTTTATTTATGAAATACTAATAATCTTTAACTCAAACAGAAATGTGAGACCAACTGCCTTACACTACAAAACTACAAATATTAAAAACTTGAGTTTTACTATTATTGTCCAGTGGTTTTTCCTAGGTTGACGGGACCCTCAGATAACCGGAATTTTTAGATAACTGGAATGCCCTAATCCCCGAATGTGCCAGATAACACAGGTTTTACTGTGCTTATATACACAGATCATGATATTGATTACCTTCTGAAACTCAATGCACACCTTAATGAATTTCCAAAGCAACTCTGTTCTGTTTTGATAGAATTATAATATGCATGTAAACCCACCTCACATTTTTAAGGCAGTTTTTCCTTCACCTTTAAAAATAGTGTGTTGCAGGAGAACATGGTAAAATAAAGAAATAAGACTCAAGAATCCTTTTCATTAATATTTCAAATACCTTTGCCTGTAATCTGACCTTTCTTTAAAAGTTTCATGGAGGTCTTTGACCACTCTCTTACTATAATCCCTTTGACTCCTCTCATCATGTTCATGAGACTAACTGTCCTATCAGCATTTTGAATTCTTCCCTCCATTATCAACTGTCACTTTTTTACTTTAAAAGCTCAAGGCTCACAGGATGGACTACAAAATGTCAGCTATGTGATTTTGCACTTACCCATAACCATTTCCAATTTGAGGACAATGGCCCATAGTGTACCAACAATTTTCTTGATGAGCTAGAATAACATTTTCTCAGCTCCCATTCCCTATCACATCTCCTCTACTTATGCTACATGGATGTCATCTTCATTATATGGACCCATGGGAAGGAGGCACTTGAAGAATTCTATCAGGATTTCAACAACTTCCACCCCACTGTGAAGCTTAGCCTGGAATAATCCACACAAGAGATCCACTTCCTGGACACTACAATACAAATAAACAATGGTCACATAAACACCACCCTATATAAGAAACCTACGGATCGCTATTCTTACCTATATGCCTCTAGCTTCCATCCAGGACACATCACATGATCTATTGATACAACAGTATCTTCTCCAATCCCTCAGACAAACACTTACAAGATCTTTATCAAGCATTCTAAAAACTTAAATACCCACCTAGGGAAGTGAAGAAACAGATTGACAGAGTCAGACAAGTATCCAGAAGTTACCTACTTCAGGACATCCCTAACAAGGAAAACAACAGAACACTCACTGGTCTTCACCTATAGCTCCCAGCTAAAATCCCTCCATAGCATCATTGACAATCTACAACCTATCCTGCAAAATGATCCCCTCGCTCACAGACCTTGGGAAATAGACCAGTCTTCGCCTACAGACAGCCCCACAACTTGAAGCAAATACGTACCAGCAGTCACACAACACACTACAGAAACACTTACCCAGGAACCTAGCCCTGCAACAAACACCATTGCCAACTCTGTCCACATATCTATACAAGTGACAGCTCACAGGATCTAATCACATACACCAAACCATTATTGGCTAATATACCTGCACATCCACTAACATGATATACGCCATCGAGAGCCAAACAATTCCCTTCTGTCATGTGTATTGGCCAAATTGGACAGTCTCGGTGCCAAAGGATAAATGGACACAAATCAGACATCAGGAAAGGTAATCAACCAGCAGGAGAACACTTTAACTTCTCTGGACATTCAGTAATGAATTTAAAAGTTGTCATCCTCTTACAAAAGAATTTCAAAACCAGATTACAAAGGGAGACAGCTGAACAGGAATTCATTTGCAAGTTCAATACAAGTAATTTAGTATTAAATAAGTATCTTAACTGGTTAACACATTACAAAGGCAATTTCCCTTCTCTTGATAATCACATCTTCACACCAAATTCTATGAATGAACCACTTTCACCCTGATTTGATTAGCCTCATTTACACAATATATATAAATCTGTCCCTGTAACTTCCACTCCAGTTCATCTGATGAAGTGGGTTTTATTCATGAAAGCTTATGCCCTAATAAATCTGTTAGTTTCTAAGGTGCGACAGGACTCCTCATTGTTTTTGAAGATAAAGACTGACATGACTTCAGCCCTCTGAGAATATTTAGTTTAACATGTACAGAGCTTTTAAAAAGTCATGTTCTGATGGCCAGCTGGACTAATCTTTATTCTCCTTATGTTAAGAGACAAGCATGAAGTGAGTTTTCAGTTTGGCCTTACTCTGTCCATGGCTCTTCTCTCATAATGATCTATCTTGGATTAGACAAAGTGCCTGCCTCTTATCCTGGCTCATAACCAATGTACATTGGTTTTTACAGAGTCATTCTTGTGAAGATGTATAAGTCCAATCAGATAGAAAGATTTTGACTGCATTAGAATGTTTCTAATTCACTGTGCTGCCTGATTGAGCATATTAACTTACATGTTAAGTCCTCCTTGTATTCTAACAGGATACCTGGAACTTTTACTTTTATTCCTTCCTCAATTTGCCTTTTGAGCCCTGTGACCTCAGCAGCTAGCACACCTATGAAAAAAATCACCTCTCAAGCTCCATGTTAATGTCCGACAATAATCTGAGCTTTTTTCCTGTCTCACTGTCTGTGCTGAGATGGCAACATCATGCACTTAACCACAATAAAGTAACAGTAAAGAGTGTGACAGTTTGGGGAATCCTCTTTGCAAGTGTTTGGCATGCAAACAGGAGTGATCAGTAGGAGACGATGCTTAAGCTCTCCTCCTCATGCAGGCTCTTGTATGAACACTATTTTTAAGGTAAAAAATAATGAAAATGGGAGCTTAAACAAAACTGAAGTAGAAGTGGATCTTCATGGACCAAAAATCCATAAACTGAAAAAGGGAATGAATCTTTCAAAGTTTTGCAGGTCATCTTTAAATGGAGAGTTTGATTTTTACCACTTTACATTTCCCTTTTTCTTATTTATTTTAAACTAATCATTTTTTCTAAGACAGCCTTTTAATTAGAACAAACATCATACAGCAGAAGCAAACACATTATACCAATAACCTGGTCAGGTACCATAAACACTTTGGTTTATTTTAGTACTGATTTTGTTTGGATTAAACAGTCCCTATTTAAGGCAGGACTTTGCTGCACCAGGTGCTGAGAATTAAAAAAAAAAATGTTTCCAAACAAGCACAATATTAGAAGGGAACTAAATCTTACCCTTATTCTTCCTGGTCAGTGCATCAGCCTGCTCCCAAATGTCATAGGCACAGAGGATATAGGAAGTGATGTTGATGTAGGAGAAGGTTATGCTTGGAATATTATGTAGAGTATTGATTGAAGAACAAATGACCCCACTGCCACAGTTGCTAGCATTTGATCCTGACTGGGAACTCACAGAGCTAGCAGGAGAGGGCATCGGAGAAAGAGGAGAAGGTGTGCCTGTGCTTCTAAGGAAGAAGACAATATCATGTATCATGAAGCTTTAATGTAACAGGTTAATGTCTAGCCACAAGACACCCATATTTCTGTTTTTATGAGCCACCCCTGCATCAGGCACCTTGAGACAGCAAGAGCACTATGATATATAAGGTGGAGGGTTCTCCAACAAGGCAGGCAAGATAGATATAATCAAGTGCATAACTACAGGTTAGACCTCCCTGGTCCAGCCCCCCTCTTGACCTGACTGGTCCCGGATGAAGGATTTTTCCAGGTTGGGGTGGTCATTTCTGGACCCCCTGCCACCAGCCCCCTCCAGTCCTGGCCCAGTTGGCTCCCCGCACTTGCCAGCCCTGCTGCCCTGTAAGCTCTGGTTGCCCCAGCAGGCAGCTCCATCACCTCTGCACACCAGGCTCCTGCTGCGGCACTCAGCTCTTGCTGCTACGCCAGGTAGCCCTGCTGCTTGTGCATGCACCCTGCCTTTGTGCATTGGGCTCTCAGTGCTGGGCTGTGCAACTCTGCTACCTCTGCATGCTGGGCTCCCGCTGCAGAGCCTCGTTCTAGCTGCCACTCTGGACAGCCCCACAGCCTCTGCACTGGGCTCCTGCACATGGAGGAAGCCCCACAGCCCTGCCGGCTTGCAGGGCTCCCAGTCACTAGCCCTGCCAGACCATGGATGTTGCCGGATCAGTTTAAGAGAGTTTCAACATGTACACAAAAAACCAGGTCAAGATTTTCAAAAGTGAGTTGGGATTCTGGGTGATCATCTTAAGACACCTTCAAGGCACCTGATATTCAAAACATGCTGAGAACCCAACTCAAAGTCCCTAAGTTGGTCACTCAGTCCATACGCACTTCTGAAAATCTTGGCCTGGTTATCTAAGTGTTTTGGCCAGGGCTACTCAACACACAGCCAATGGGCCGCATGCAGCCCACAGCCTGTTTATTTGCAGTCCGCGGTGAGGTTTGGGTTTACAGTGTGGTATTTGGACAGCTAGTCCATCCTCCAGAGATTATGCAAGGTTGCATTACTGTACATTCCCAGATGATGGGGCCTCCACAACTTTCCTTGGGAGACTTTCAGTTTAATTAATCTCACAGCGACAGGCCAGGGGTAGAAGTGACGGTTCTTTCAGAACCATTACAATAATATCTAAGCATTCTTTCAAAATATTTTCAAAGAGGTATGTGTGGAATTGCATGCTTAGTTTTGGAAAGTGCGGTGTATGCTGAGTATGCACAAGTTGACAGTAGGTTGCACAACTGGCCATCATTGTACACAAATCCCTTGTTTGCACATGCAAATGCTTTAAGTGCATCTCTATCCTGTTGAGAATCAGATCCAGCATTAATTTATAAGATAGCTTTTATAAAACTTTTGCTGTCACATCCACAGTAACTCTGATGCAGACTCACAAAGGTGGCTACAAGCATTAATAATCAGCAAGAAAATTTAAAAAGTTTCTGTTAGGACCATGGTGTCCAACACACTAGCCACTGGAGCACTGTCATGGAAGGGTATAAACTGTTCAGGAAGAACAGGCAGGGGAGAAAAGAAGGAGTTGCACTGTATGTAAGAGAGCAGTATGATTGCTCAGAGCTCCAGTATATGGAGGAAGAAAAGCCTGTTGAGACTAATGAGTTAAGTTTAGAGATAGGAGCAACAGGTGTGATGCTGTGATTGGTGTCTGCTATAGACCACCAGATCAGGTGGATGAGGTAAATGAGGCTTACTTCAGACAACTAAGAGACGCTTCCAGATCACAAGCCCTGGTTCTTATGGGGGATTTTAATAATTCTGACAGCTGTCGGGAGACCAATACAGCAGAACACAGACAATCCAGGAAGTTTGTGGAGAATGTTGGGGATAACTTCCTGGTACAAGCGCTGAAGGAACCGAGCACGGATCATGCACAGCTTGACCTGTTGCTCACAAACAGGGAGGAACTATTAGGGGAAGTAGATGTGGGTGGCAGCCTGGGAAGCAGTGATCATGAGATGGTAGATTTCAAGATCCTGACCAAAGGAAGAGGGGAGAGCAGCAAAATAAACACTCTGGACTTCAGAAAAGCAGACTTTGACTGCATCAGAGAACTGATGGACAGGATCCCCTGGGATGCTAAAATGAAGGGGGAAGGAATCCAGGACAGCTGTTAGCAATAAGAGGGTGATCAGAGAGGGTGCGGGGACCTTACAGGATGAGGGAGGTAACCTAGTGACAGATGTGGGAAAAGCTGAAGTACTCAATGCTTTCTTTGCCTTTGTCTTCACAGACAAGGTCAGCTCTCAGACTACTGCACTAGGCAGGCAGCCCTTGGTGGAAAAAGAACAGGTTAAGAACTATTTAGAAAAGCTAGACACACACAAATCCATGGGTCCGGATTTAATGCATCCAATGAGGGAGTTGGCAAATGTCACTGCAGAGCCTTTGGCCATTATCTTTGAAAACTCGTGGCGATTAGGAGAGGTCCCGGATGAGTGGAAAAAGGCAAATGTAGTGCCCATCTTTAAAAAAGGGAAGAAGGACAATCCAGGGAACTGCAAACTCAATCCCTGGAAAAATCATGGAGAGGATCCTCAAGCAATCCATTTTGAAGCACTGGGAACAGGGGAATGTGATCAGGAATTGTCAACATGGATTCACCAAGGGCAAGTCATGCCTGACCAACCTGATTAGCGTCTATGGTGAGGTACCTGGCTCTGAAGACATGGGGAAGTCAGTGGCTGTGCTATACCTTGACTTCAGCAAAGCTTTTGATATGGTCTACCATGCCAGCAAGATAAGGAAATATGGATTGGATAAATGGACTGTAAGGTGGATAGAAAGCTGGCTAGATTGTTGGCGATCAATGGGTGGCGATCAATGGCTCGATGTCTGGTTGGTGGTGAGTTTCAAGTGGCATGCCCGAAGGATCAGTTCGAGGGCCAGTTTTATTCAACATCTTCGTTAATGATCAGGATGAAGAGAAGGATTGCACCCTCAGCGTGTTTACATTGACACTCAGCTAAGGGGAGAGGTAGATACATTGGAGGGAGAGCGACCTAGACAGATTAGAGGATTGAGTCAAAAGAAATCTGATGAGGTTCAACAAAGACAAGTGCAGAGTCCTGCACTTGGGACAGACGAAGCCAAAGTATTGTGACAGGCTGGACAGGTAGCAGTTCAACAGAAAAGTACCTGGGGATTACAGTGGATGAGAAGCTGGATATGAGTCAACAGTGTGCCCTTGTAAGCCAGGAAGGCTAATGGCATATTAGGGTGCATTTGGAGGAGCATTGCCAGCAGATCTAGAGAAGTGATTATTCCCCTTTATTCAGCACTAGTGAGGCCACATCTGGCATATTGTGGCCAATTCTGGGCCCGTCACTATAGAAAGGATGTGGAAGCATTGGAGAGGGTCCAGCGGAGGGCGACCAAAATGATTAGGGGGCTGGAGCACTTGACCTACGAAGAGAGGCTGAGGGACTCTTTTGTCTGAAGAACAGAAATGGGTTGGGGGGGAGGGGAGTTGATAGCAGTCTTCAAGTTCCTGAAGGGAGGCTCCAAAGAAGGAGCAAGGGTCCCAAATTACAGTGGAGGAAGTTTAGGTTGGATATAAGAAAAAACTATTTCACTAGGAGGGTGGTGAAGCACTGGAATGGGTTACCTAGGGAGGTGGTGGAATCTCCATCCCTAGAGGTTTTTAAGTCTCAGCTTGACAAAGCCCTGGCTGGGTTGATTTAGTTGGGGTTGATCCTGCTGTGGGCAGGAGGCTGGACTCAATGACCTCCTGAGGTCTCTTCCAGTCCTATGATTCTATGTGGCAATTTGGCTGGTTGAGTGTGGCTGGTTGGTTTGAACAATAGAAACTTAAAAATCACTGCATTCAAAACAAATTTTGAAAATAAAAAAAAACCCAAAATTTTTCAGGGAAAAAAAGAATTTCAGAAGATCTTTCTAAGTTCTAAAATCACTTCCCATTAATTTGACCCATCTCCTGGATGGAGACTGCTGCCAGGTTGCAGAATAGCTTAAATATGCCACTTAGGCTGGAAGTGATCATGCATCATTGTAAGCCGTGGATGGTATTTCTGGGTACTGGTTTTCCACTGGTATTTATCATCAAAGCCTTTCTGAAAGTACTTCTGAGTGAAATTATTTGTTCTTGTAAGAAGCAGCTCAGTTTTCAAACTGGGCAGTCTTCTCTTGGCATCCAACCTACACCTCCCACACTGCAACTTGTCATTTGAATGAACTCAATCTGAAACTTCAGGGAAAGGAGAATTAGATTTGTGATATGCCCCATGACTTTTGGGACTTCATTTCTAGGCTACAGCTATTCATCTTTCAAATGAAGGCAAGAGAACACCCAAATTTGCAGAAAATTGCTAGAGATAGTGAATTTGAGTGTGATGACCTTGATTGTTAGTGTTATGTGAGATGGCTTGAAAACCTGGCAATGAAATTCAGCCAGTGTTTTGCAGATTTTGAAAGCTTCATATTGGCATTTCGATTTATGAAAAACCCATTTCAGTTTGACATTGCTAATTCTCAAGACCTTGTCAATTTCCTTGGCCTGGACAAATGTTTGTTTGAAGAAGATGTGCTCACACTTCAAAGTCAGCTCGATCAGTCAAAAAATGAATCGGTTTTGACAATATAGGATGCACTTTTGTGACAGAATCAGTTTGCTATTTTGAAAACTGCAGTTGCCAAACTTTTTTCCATGTTTGGTTCAACATGGTTTTGTGAAGCGTCATTTTCTGTCATTACGTCTATTAAGTCAAAGTTTCGGTCATGGTTACTGGATGAAAATATGGAGGCCAAGTTGAGGTGTGCTGTCAATGAAAAGTTTTTGCCTGATTTCAGAATTTTAGCAATGGAACAAAATTGTCAAGTGTCCCGTTGATTGAATTTCTGTGAAATGTGTTGATTTCAGTTGATTTAAACCAGTGTTGAAATGCTCTGTTGACATTAAAAGAGAGTCTCACAAAATTATTTAAATTTCAGAATAATGTGTCTAGTTCGCTATAGCAGTAGCCTCTATAGTGGCTAAAGCTTCAGAACTGGTTGGACAACATGGTGTTAGGGGAATCAATCGGAAAAAAGCGCCAAAATACCAGCTAAAAGCTAATGTAAAATTCAACCTGTATCACTGTGAGTAGTCCAGCATCTTTTTGGGGGAACAGGAGGGATGACAAGAGAGGAGGAAACATTTCCAAGAAGAAGAAAATTCAACAGATTTAACCTGTCATCTATGTCTATTAACCCAGGATAAGGACTAAAGCAACAGGACCTCTAAAAACAGTTTATAATACATTATTTGTTTCCCCTATTCTTTGATAAGACAATGTGGATGACATTGGGTAATGTGGGCTATATTGTCTGTAAATAAATAAACCAATCTATCTATGTAAGTTGAAGTGATGGAAAAAAATAAGCCATAGGAAAATACTTTAAGAAAGTTATTTCAACCCCTAAAACAGAAAAAGATTCAATGCACTTAACCCCCTTGAAAAAAAAATCGAATTCAAATGTGTAGGCAACTATTTCTGTTAACACTTTATGAGAGAGAGAGGATTTTAATACGTATTTTAAACAATACCTTGCAACACATGGAGAAGGTGCTTGTGTGACTCTGGAAGAATTCTGTAAAGAAGGAAAGTTTAGTTAGATTTGGGTTTCACATGGACCTATACCGAACACTTGCAGCTTGTTTCATCTTTCTAATTTGAAACTTACAAAATAATACAATCATGCTCTACCTTGAAGTGTTCATTGAGGGTTCGGGAATACTTTACTGCAGTGTCTTTTTTGTAACGAAACATTGCCATGTGCAGAATGGACTGGCAACGCATGCTGTGAACAAAAATCAGGAATCAGTGTCAGAACATTCATCGCCACTCCAGCAGCAATTCTTTTTGTATAGCCTGAGGACACATACAGCCATCTTATTTCAAATGAAAGAAAGTTTGTGCTTCCTTGACCATATATATTAGATAGCCACCGTGAAAAGATCATGTCAGAGAAAAACCAGAACTGTCAGGGAAGTAGATGTACAAGCCCTAGCAGGTGTTATGGACATACCCTGTGTGTCCAGAATTTACTTGGGTCTGTTCAATTATGGCTTAAGTTACACAATTCACAAACCCTGTCAGGCAATTCACAGTCTACCCTCAGCTTACATCCAGTTATTAATCTCCAACACACCATTCCCTACTGACAGTCCACTTCATTGTAAAATAAATATTTAAGATTTCACTGCATAAATGTAACATTAGATTAGCCCAGATCTCCACTTTCAAGTTATGAGATTATGAAATGTTGCACTAGAAAAGAGGTGATGAGGAATAGGCACGTACCACAAAACAGCAAAGATTTTTTCATGTGCAGATGCTGAGGTATCTGAAAAGGATTTTAATGTCATTATAAATCTGTAAGAAAACAAAAAAGAAAATTAATGAGATTCTTCAGGTAACAGGGCAGGATTTCCCAATGTCATCAATATGGTACCATTTATGAAAATTCCACTGGCTCAATAACCACAAAACCTAAGTTCTATTTCCAACTCTGCCGCTAGCACCTTGTGCGAAGCCACTATACTGTCTGTGCCAATACTTAACCACCTGTGTAAAGTACTAATTAAGGAATCAATCCTGTAGCTGTGCCAGTTAAAAATGTGTTTAATTTTTGCAGCTTTTCTAAACATGGAATAGCTTCAGGGTTGGGTTCTAGCATAGCTGTCCACCCCTCTCAGCTTGATTCATAGTGGACATCCTAAGGCTGATACGCAAGAAGCCACAGTGGGAACAGTAGACACACAGGCTGTGTCTACATTGGCATCCCTTTCCAGAAAAGGGATGCTAATGAGACACTTCGGAATTGCAAATCCACGGGGGATTTAAATATCCCCCGCGGCATTTGCATTTACATGGCTGCCGCTTTTTTCCGGCTCGGGGTTTTTGCCGGAGAAAAGCGCCAGTGTAGACGCGATTCTCCGGAAAATAAGCCCTTTTCCGGAGGATCCCTTATTCCTACTTGAAAGTAGGCGAGAAGGTCAGAAGGATACAGCTGATTTAAATTTATTCCACTAGAACATTTTTTTGACAAAAAGTGGCTTTTTGAGCAAAACAAAACATTCTAATGGGAAATTTTCATTTGATCAAAAGTTCCCATATTTTCAAACAAAAAACACCAAAATCTTTTCAGCAATATATTTTCTTGTTTTGTCAAAAACCAAACATATTTTAAGAAGAAAATTAGAAAAAACTGAATTAAGAATTCCCATGAAAAATGGGTCTTTTTCAACCATTTCTAGAGAATGAAGTTATATCACATCTGGGAAATATTCATTGCATACAGATTAGATGATAGTTGACATATTTCTGTTTGAGTCACACTTTCTTCAGCTTGTGAAATAACTCACATCCTTCAGAAGTGGAGTTTATTGTAACTGCAAAATTTCCTTTTGCAAAATAAGAGCAAACAAAAAAAGGGAAAATTGGCTAAAAGTCTCCTATAAATGTATGGTCAGGCCTAAGAACCAATCCCTTCAAGTCTTCACTAGAAACCCACACATTTAACATTTTGAGACCTCTCCAGCCTTTTAAACCCGTTTAATGAATTTAATGTGGGTCATGCTAATTTGATCTCTCGCTAGTTTCTTACTCAAAATGTCAGTTTACATGCATTAGCTCCAGTCTAATTACCTTTATAGACCACACATGTAATTGCATCAAAAAGATCAGTTTGGTTTGACAGATTCTATTTCCATAAAGCCATATTGATTAGCATTAATTATATTTGTCTCCTGTAATTCTTTATTAACTGAGTTCAGTATCAGTGGTTCTATTGTCTTGCCTACAGGTATCAGAAAGATAAAAACTGGAAAGATGAGAGAAATTCAGAGGTATACTTAGATTGTAAGCTCACTGGACAGTCTTTCTGATCATGCAGTGTTTAACACAAGGGGTCCTTAACCATGATAGGCACCTACTACTAATTTGATACAAATAATAAATGGGATAACATTTTAAAAAACTATCCTATACCAGCAAAATGGCCTTTATACTTACTTAAGGAGATCTATGGTGTCTGAGAATATTGTGTATGCTGATTTTGGGGCTAGTGCATCAGATTCCATAGAAATTCCATACTCGATGAAGGAAAGAGCAGCCTCCAAGTACTGAAATGCCTTTGCAACCTTGTCTGTCTGTTGGGAAGAAGATGTTCATGGTTAGCCAACATGAAAAAGTATGGTTCTTCTTCATTCTTTGCCATATCTGTGCCTTCTCTTTGCTTGGTTATGCTCTATTTGAGGTGAGAGAGTGACCTCGGTACATTTTAACTTTGATCCCAGTGAAAGTGTCTAACATTCAGAGGTGAACTGCACCTGCAATCTCCCCCTAAGTCATGTCAATTAGCTCTTTTTCCAAATGACAAGCAGTTCATCTGCTACAGCAGCCCCTAGTCACACAACCCTGCCAGGGTTACAGGGAAAGCAATGTCTTACACCTCCTTATAGCCTGTCTGACATCTGACAGTATCACTATAGTATCATCCCCTTGTGCCAAATGAAATCCTAGGACTTTACCACTCTTGGATTAGATCTCTGGATGGCACCACTTTCCCACCCTCTATTTCCAAATACCTTAACATGAGAGGCCCATCTGCAATTGGTGCCTGCAAGATACTCTTTTCCATGTGCTTGTGACAACAGCAAGCAGGGAGAAAGAAAACCCACAAAAGGTCCCTGCCTGCAACTCACCACCTCTCAAAACTTGAGCTAACCAGTGAGTCCCTGCCTTAGTTCAACAGCCATGGTGCATAGAATCATAGAAGCCTAGGGCTGGAAGAGACCTCAGGAGGTCATTGTTTAGCCCCCTACCCAAAGCAAGACCAATCCCAACTAAATCATCCTAGCCAGGACTTTGTCAAGCTGGGACAAACACCTGTAGGAATGGAGATTCCATCACCTCCCTAGGGAACCCATTCCAGTACTTCACCACCCTCCTACTGAAATGGCTTTTCCTAATATCCAACCTAGACCTCTCCCACTGCAACTGGAGACCATTGCTCCTCGTTCTGCCATCCGTCACTACTGAGAACAGCCTCTCTCCATCCTCTCTGGAACCTCCCTTCAGGAAGTTCAAGGCTCCTATCAATGCTTCCCCCCCCCCCCCCGCCATTCTTCTCTTCTGCAGACTAAATAAGCCCAAATCCCTCAGCCTCTCCTCGTAGGTCATGTGCTCCAGTCCCCTAATCATTTTGGTTGCCCTCCACTGGACCCTCTCCAATGCATCCACATCCTTTCTGTAATGGGGGGCCCAGAACTGGACGCATGTACTACCTCTCTTAGGCCAGGTCTACACTAAAAGAGAATGGGCGATGTTAATTATGTAGCTGTCATCAATGTATCTTGTTTTGAGTTTCCCGCTCTCCCCTAAGTGGGAGATGGATACTCCCTTTGGCTTCCTTTACTCATTACAGAAGAGAACGTTACCTTGTGCAGTTACAGGAGTTACTTGAGATGTGTGTCCCTGGGGGCGCTCCATTCTAGGTGCTGGTGCTTCCTTGCACTGGTGATTGGAGATCTTTTCTAGCAATGCCCCGCTGTGCTGTGCATACACAGTGGTGTCTCCTTGTGCCATTAAGTGTCCGTTAGTTGCATGCCTCTGCTCCTGCTCTGCTTTGGATGTGCCCCAAACAGGCTCCAAAGTAGGGGAGGAAGAGAGGGCATTGGAGCGTCCATGGGGACCACACATCTCAAAGAACTCTTGTTACTGCACAAGGTGAATTCTCTCTTCTTTTTCAAGTAATAGCTCTGTGGGAGCTACACTCTAGGTGTCTGAAAAGCAGTGTCCACCTCGTGAAGGCAGGTTTTGGAGACTGTAGAGAGAACCATCCGGGCCACTGTTATAGGAATTAGGCCAGAAGTCTAGGACCAGGTTGCTGCTCTGCAGATGTCTTATAACAGGACATTGGTCAGGAAGATGGTGGTGCAAGCCACTGCTCGGGTGGAGTGAGCTGTGATGATAAGTGGCAGTTTCTTGTTATGGATTGTGTAACAAGCATGGATGCAAGAGGAAATCCATTTTGATATCCTCTGGGAGGAGACAGATTGACCTTTTGAGCATTCAGCAAAAGAGATGAAAAGTCTCGTGGACTTCCTGCAGGACGGAGGGTGTGTAATGTTTCTTGGATCATGTCATCATGCGGCTTTGGACAGAATGCAGTAAGTGGATAGGTTCATTAATATGGAAAGGTGTAGGGACTTTCGGGAAGGATTTTGGGTAAGATCTGAGTTTTACCCTGTCTTTGCTGAAGATTGTGTAACGGGGAGTGTGCTATCAAAGCTGCTGTTTCTCCTATCTGTCTACTGGAAGTGATGGCTACGAGAAAGCCCACCTTCATCGAGAGTTGTAGCCAGGAGCAAGTGGTGAGTGGTTCAAAGGGTGGCTTTTGTGAGGCTTTTAAGGACATAATTGAGGTCCCATAGGACAGTAAGTGATATCACTATGGGGAATGTATTTTGGAGTCCTGTTAAGAATCGTTTGGTCATGGGATGCGAAAAGAGTGAGATCCCAGCTGTTAGCTCATGAAACTCAGCAACTGAAGCAGTGTGAAACTTTATTGAACTCCCGTAGGTCAAGGAGGTAGTCCAGTATGATTAATAGAGGGGTAGTGGAGGGTGGAATGTTGTGTTTTTCCTGTATCCACTCAGAGAATTTTTTCCATTTATAGGTGTAGGTGTTTCTGGTAGAAACCTGTCAACTACTGATTAGTATTTACTTTACTCTATCCGAGCAGAACATTTAAGCATCATGTAGCCAGGACTTGAGATGAAGTGTCACTGGATCTGGACTGAGGATCCTGCCGTGATGTTGAGACAGAAAATTGTGATGTGGAGTGAATGCATGAGAAGCAGAGATTGCCAATCATTTCAGGTAAGGAAACCAGGTCTGTCTGGACCATGATGGTGCTACTAAAATGATGTGTGCTCGGTCTTGTCTGATTTTCATGATTACTCGGTGGAGCAATGGTAATGGTGGGAATGCCTACAGGAGTGGGACTTCCCATTTCAGGAGACATGTATCCCCTAAAGAGCCCTTCCCTAGGGCTACCCAGGAGCAAAACTAGCGACATTTGTGATTGGATTAGATCGCAAAAAGGTTTGTGTCGGGTTGGACCCACTGGGCAAATACTTCCTGCAGGGCTATTGTGTCCATTTCCCAATCGTGCTGGTCTGAAAACAGGCAGCTGAGATTGTCCGCTGTAACACTGAAAACTCCTGGCAGGTATGTTGCTATGGGAGTGATCTGGTGCCGAATGCACCAATTCCAGAACTTCATCACCTCTGTGCAAAGGCAGTTGGATTGTGCTCCTCCTTGATGGCTGATATAATGCATGTACGATGTGTTGTCTGTCATGATATGGATGGTCCTGTTTTTGATGTATGGAAGAAAATGAAGGCATGAGAACTGTACTGCTCTTAACTCCAAGAGACTGATGTGAAGTGAATGTTCTTTATAGGACCACTTGCCCTGTACTGCATGGGAGTTCAGATGCACTCCCCATCCCATAAGGGATTCTGGGCTCCATCTGCTTCTCCTGTACCTTTACCAGGTGCATCACAAGCTCTATTTACTGCTCCAAGAGTCTCAAGATCTCCTCCTGGGTCTTGGCTAGCATCTATTGTTATGGAGATCATAAAGAAAGGCTGTTGAAAGGAAATGCCCTGCAGCACGTTGTGTCCACCATTGCAATGAGGTCAGGATGTGGTGTGGTAGCTGTCAGGCTTGTGTAGAGAGGCCCTGAAAGAGACATAAACAGTGGCCAGCCATGCTTGGAGGAATTTCATATGGAGTCTGGCTAGTCTTACATATATTGTGGCTGCCATGTGACCAAGGATTTGGAGACAGTTGCATACTGTTGTGACTGGCGAATCCTGTACTGAGTCTTGAAGGCAGGGAAAGA